CCCCACCGTCCCCCGCCTGCCGCTGCAGGCCTCTGAGCCTGCAGTTTAAGAAACTATGTAACAAACATAGAAGCTAAACAAAACCCCAGAAACCAGCTTTAGTCCCGGGCTTCAGCCAGCAGGATCGCAACATTGTAGAAACAAACCAGATACCTACTTTCAGCAGCAGAGGCCTAAGAGCTGCAGCGTAAAAAATCAATAAAATATATTTTAAAAAAAAAAGAAAGAAAAAGAAAATTCACCTTCTTTACTGATATCACCTCTTCCCTTTATTTTTTTTTCACAAAAATGGATAAGCAGAATGTAGTATATGCATCCAATGGAGTAGCATTCGGCTCTTTAAAAGGAGGGGGACTCTGACACGTGCTACATGGATGAACCCTGAGGACAGTATGCGGAGGGGAACCAGCCTGTGATGAAATCACACAAAACACTGCCTGGTCCCGCTGGGCTGAGGTAATAGAGGGCGTAATTCACAGAGACAGAAAGGGGGCGGAGGGTGGGCGTTGCCAGGGGCTGGAGGGTGGAGTTACAGCTTTGCGAGATGAAAAAAGTCCTGGAGACGGGTGGCGGCGACGGCCGCATCATAACATGAATGTACTTAATGCCACAGCACCGAACACTTAAAAATGGTTAAAATAGTAAAGTCTATGCTGTGCCTATTTTACCAACATTTTAAAAAATAAGTATTGTTTAAATGGAAGGGGAATTTGCTCATATTAAAATGTGTGTAGTCATTTATGTAGACAGGAAACTCTTCCAGAGCTATCGCATCTGAGCCTTTTTAGCAGGTGATTTTCAAAGATGGCCTTGCGTTTCTTACGGTGGAATCACATTACACCTGGAACCATAATGTTCAAGGACATCTGGTGAGACAAGACCGTTTGTTCAGAAACTCGTCTCCATGTAAAACTTTGCTCTTCCCCTGGGAAGGTAAAACTTTGGAATTTTCACACAAGAGTCTTCTCCACCTTAATGGGGCAACGGAATTTTTAGGGAGAAACACAACCAATGTATTTGGGAAAAAATGCCATGAATTCCAGCCATGGGAGTTGGCACAATATTATGTATCTCTCTTCTCAATGAGAGGCCAATCAATCCATTACAGGAAGGAGAGCAAAATCATTAGGCCAATGTGAGCGATGAAACACAAACAGGGTAAGGCCGGAAAGCCACCTGGAGATGAAAACCACAAACTATGAACGAGGAAGGTGGAAACAGCAGCAAAATGTGGAGAAAATACGAGGAGGGGAAAGCATGCAGGCAAGATTGTTATTTAATAAAATGATCCGATTACTGTACCTTTTGGGTAACTTGAAAGGTCTGGATGGTCTGGAAAAAAAAAAAAAAGAAAAACCATCAGAAATAAAGCACCAGGACAAAAAGGCTTAATGTCTATAGTCAGCATTTCGCTTCTCCCGCCTTCTGGAAGAATCCTGGGAGGGCAGCAGAAATTTGCTATCTGTAGGTCGACAGTGATCTCAGAACCACCGGGACAGGCTATAAAAAGATCTGCATCTGCAAAGGAATATTTTATTATACACATTCTGGGTTGTAACACATGTAAATATTCTATTTCTCCCTATGTCGCACTGCTATCTTGTTGTTGCTTTTTTTTTCCCTGAGAAAGTCATGGATCTGTGGCTAGTTTACTCCTCAGAGACAGAAACTATGGATTCATCGCATTCTTTCTGCTTGAGTAACGACTTCATTTTATGTTCAACTTGAGACCCTAAGTGGAGATTGTCGACATCGATTGAGAAAGAAAAACTGAGGTTCCCACAAAGATCCCTCCCGGGAAAACACTGGATCCCTTTGAAGTGTTTGTACTAATGGACACGACAAGCAGATGTTGGCAACACCCAAACCACAACTACAGGTAAGACACGAGATCCCTTTGATTGGCCCTGTGTTATCTTTCCTTCTCCCCTTTCAACCTCCGCAGAAAACATCTGAGAGAGCAGGCAGGCAGGAGCCCACTGCACACTTTCACCCCTCAAGTGGAGTCTTCCTCCGTCTGTGAAATCTTTCCATTTGCAACATTTAATACCTGTCTAATAAAAGCTGCAGGGTGATCTTCCACACTCACTTCGGACTTACGCAGACAAATAAAAACTCGTAAAAACAGACAAATAAATCTAACTTCTGTTATAGAGAGAAACAATGTTTTCCCAGGGTCCTTTCACCTTTTAATACCATCTGGTCAAAACACACCAGAAAACAAACAGTAAAAACCTCGGGTGGGCACGTCAGCCTGCATCTCAGTTAGGTCTTCAGGGATGACACTGGCAGGTCCAGGACCCTCCCCCACACGCAGGGCGCAGATGAGCTGGGCTGGGCCCCCTCCCCGGAGGCCTAGTCGGAGCGTCATCCTCTCTCTCCCACTCAAGAAAGCGTTTCTGTGTGAGAGTGCGTGACAGTGACAACATTGTTACAGGGCTAAGCTCAGCTCTGCCTAAGACGGTAAGTTAATGAAGCACTTACAAACCCGGGACTCGTGATGAGGAATCAATGGCCTCGGCCACTGCCCGGCTGAGAACTGTCACAGCAGCTCAGGGCCCTGGCTTCACTACTCCGGTGACCAGTGAGCTGGGCTATGTCAAGGGAACAGCTAATGAGCTTGTCAAGTTCTCAGGAAAAGGGAACTTGACATGATGAGGGGCACTGGGGCAGAGAGAGGCAAGGGAAATTTTTTAAAGGTAATAACCAGAAGTAAGTTGTATGGGAGGGAAAACGTTAACAAGAAACAGAAAAAAAAAATTAAAAAGCTACCAATGGTCTGCTTCCCTCACCGTTTCTCTCTCTTTTAATAATTTTTGAGGCGAGCGTGGGAGACTAAAGGGCGAGGGAAGTGGAATGCTGTAACATGAAGACATGTCCCTCGTCTAGAGAGCTCTACTGTGGACAGAGCTGCGGGATTAATATCACAACTTAAGGAGGGACAGTATCCGCTTGCACCAACTCCAGATGGCTCTGCCCAGCACTCAGGAGAATCAAAGCTCTGGAAAAAACAGCTTTGTATGGTTCTCACCAACTAGTAACCAGACTTAGGTAAACAAGTGCTCCAGGTAGCATGTCTTAGTCGAAACCCTCCCATGGGATTGGGCCCTGTTGCCTTTTCATGCATATCCTGCAAGTGATAACTCGGGTTCAGTGCTGACACGGTAGGAAGAAAGCGTTTGGAAATAAAGGACCCACACTTCAGTGAGCATTCTTGAAAAGATTTCCAACAAAACCACCACCATTCTTCACCGTGAAGGGTTTGCATGAGTGACCACTGGCACCCTTGGGTTCAGTCTCGAGGATGACACAGGAGCCCTGGGACAGGCCAAGCCCGGCCGCTAATCCATCTTTCATGCATCAGGTCTACATGCTTCTAGTCTTGTCCAGTGATAACCACAACCACTTGTGCGATGCGTTTCCTGAACGCCAAGGGATGTTGACTCAAAGTATTGGTCACGGTGACGTCTGAAACTGTTGATATGAACAGCGTCCCAACGACTACACAAAATATAAAATAACCTAGGAGGCAGGAGGAAAAGGTTGGGAGTGGAGGACTAATGTTTACAGATCATCTAGTAAATGCCAAGCACTTTTTACTAGTAAATCTTAGAAAAGAAATTTAGCAAATCTTTTAAAAATTCGAAAGAGAAGATGGCAACTCGACAGCCCTGTCTGACATGGGAGAAGAAATTAAGAGTAAGTTTTTGTATCTTTAAATTCTTCGTGAGACTATATTCATTAATTATTTGTATAATTAAGAAGCGAAAAGAATTGTTATAAAGGGAAATTGCATATGTAAGTATTCATTTATGTATATGTGGATGAAATATTTTATTTGAAAATGTCTCTCACTGATACTGATTTGGCAAGAATGGGGCACCCTGGCTAACTAAAATAGACCGAAAAAGAGTAACAGTACACACGGATCATAAGCTTTCAAAGAACCTAAAAAAATACCTTTAATACAAAATCTACAGTTCATTCTGTCAACTGATTTACTACACAGTTGAAGTGACACCAAGTGATGTGATCATCATTGGGATCGCCTGGGGAGCTTATTAAAGCAGGGGTTTCCAGGCTCCTCCCCAGAGTCCGGCTCAGTGAGGCTTGGAGTAGAGCTACACGGTCAGAGCTTGAACCACTGCCTGGGACGATCTGCCAGGAAAATGTGACATCTAGGCAAGAAACAACTGGAGAGTAATACAAGGACCATCAGAACTTAAAGGTGTAGGACAAACATTCAGTGAATGGGGCACCGGGAGGTGATACTGGAACAGAGTGGTCCGAAGAGTAGCTTGAACTTGACGTAAGAAGTAGAATTTGAGCTAGGTCTTAAAGAACAGGTGGGCTTCGGATGGATAAACAGGAGGGAGAGAGAAAGGAAATAAATATTTGTGTCAAACCTCTGCTAAACAGCACTGTGGGGCAGCGTAGCTACGTCAACAGGCCTTCCTAAGAGGGAAGAGGGAGGAGGGAGGCTTGTTGGAGTAGCAGTTTTTTTTTTAAAAAAAAGTCTGTGGGGGGGGGCAGGAGACTAGAATGGGTAATAGAAATAGGAAGCTGCTACAGTCTCTTGAGCAAGAACGAATATGATGAAAACACGGTTTAGGATGGATGACGTGGTGGCAATGGGCAGGATGAACTAGAAAGGGAAACATACAGATACGGAGACGAGGTTGGGAGCTGCTGCAGTGGCCCAGGTATACAGTGCCAAGAGAGAAAAGTGGAAAAGGCTAAGTCTACCTTTAATGACTCAGAAAGCTTCTGAGAATCTTACGAACATGTGAATCAAAACTATGAGTATCAACTGTCAGAACTACGCATGGTGTTACAAGAAAAATATTCTGATGACATTTTGGATAAACAAAGATTTATATATCCTATGTATATTATAACAATTTCCACACTCACTGTTATTTAATATTTATCTATAACGAGGTACCTTAAGTACAATTAGAAATGGTGAAAACTACATTTAATGCCTATTTATATAATGAATTAAAAATACTGGCAGTGCCTACGGAAATGTAGTTCATGACAATTTGGATTACAACACAAGGAGGTTGTCCAAACGACTGGTTTTATAAGCACATTTTGGGGGCTTATTCAACAAATATATTTTGTTAATTTTATTAAAATAAGGAAGACACACATTTCTCCACTTTCAAAGTTTTACGGATCTTATCTATAAAATAGTAAAATGTTTTGCATTTTCATTACCAACTGTACAAATTATATACATAAGAGTTTATATATTAATTATAACCTCAGTGAAGATATATTTGCATTTCTGAAAATACATTTACGTTATCTATTTTATTAACACAAGGCCTCCATCAATTAGACCAGAGATTAAAAGTATAAACAATCGTAATTTGTAAACTTGCCAATTATCTTCTCCTCTAACATTTGCCAGTTCTCAATTTTTAGTATGACATGTCTCTATTTTGTTCAATGTAAGAGCTATTATTTGAGGTCAAAATTACATGGAAAGATTACTAATCTTTCTTCAATTCCTTTCCCACATATTTTGGATTATTTTGCCCCTCCAAAATTACTCGCCATTGTACAATTTCAGTTTGGAAGGTTAAAAGTCACACCTGCTGTTAAAAAAAAAAAAACACATTGGGGGGAGTTAAAAAAATAATAAAAATCCACTGTATCAAAATGAATTCCAACAGTGAAACCAATACTCTGCAGCTGTTGTGATATCTTCATTTTACTAGCCAGGAGAACAGACTATTCCCTCCCCGTCTACAGAAATTCTTTAGTTATGCTTTTAAGAACAACAATATCTAGTAAATTGATTTTTCTTCCTTACCTACATTTTCTCATAGTCCTCCTTTAGCATAAAAATTAAATGTAGGTATTCCAAACAAATGCCAAAGCAAAACTCGAACCCAGATTTTATAAACATAATACTGATAGAAAAGGATTTTCTCAGCCAAAAATCTGAAGTTAAAAAAGAGAATCCGAGATGGAGGACAACTGAGAATTTTCTGAAGAAAAATGAGGACCCCCGTCTCCCCCGAGGGTGGGACCACATGTTCTCAGGCTATAGTGGGGCCCCTGTGACACTCTACTTCCGGAACAGCCTGGCTAAAACCTTAAATTCAATGTATTCATTTCACAACAGTGTAGATTCTGTTTGCAACCCCCAAAACTATGATATATGCCAATGATGCCCAAAGGCCACTCCAAAGTTCAAGAACTTATTCTAAGGAGAATGTATTAAAGAGACCATTGGAAGAAGAAGACCTGTTATTAAATGGGGGTTCATCCTCGTCTGTAAAATAAAGAGAGTTGGATTAAATTATTTCTAAGGTCTT